CTAGCTCTAGCTCTAGCTCTAGCTCTAGCTCTAGCTCTAGCTCTAGCTCTAGCTCTAGCTCTAGCTCTAGCTCTGTCTGTCTGTCTGTCTGTCTATCATCTATCTATCTATCTATCTATCTATCTATCTATCTATCTATCTATCTATCTATCTATCTATCTTCTGGCAGTAAAAAAAAGGGTAAATGTTTCCCCTAGGGGGCGATACTAATCTCCATTTATTAGCCAAGGGAGCCCATGTGGTCAGAAGACACTTCTATGGTCTTCTGGCCAGTATGACTATATGGAACGCGGTAACCTTCCCACCAAAGTGGTACCTATTCATCTACTTGCATTTGCATTCTATCGAACTGCTATGTGGGCAGGAGTCAGAGATGGTATTCTACCGGTTCGGACCAATTCACGCAGATATGATCTTCCCAGCTGCCCTGATTCTATTTCATCCTATTTAGGGACCTTTTTTTAGCAAAGCGCATGCATGGAAGGCCGGGCGCATGCATGCGTATGAACCGGTAGCGAAAGTAAGTGAAACCCATCCCAGGCAGGAGCTGAGGCAAGAACGGGAACTCACCCCATCTGCACGGCGCTTGGGTCTCGAACCTGGGCCGTCAGCTTAGTGTCTTTAACTGCTGAGCCATCGCACCCTCGTAGTAACTTTTGGGGTAAGAAATTAATTCACTATGTGATTCTTACCATCATCAAATGTGTCCACCAGTTGACTTGGATTGATTTCTGCTCCGCCAATCAGTATATTATCCAGGGCCCACTGAGCACGATCAAACCCCGATACAACAATGCCGTTGTTAATTACAAATGGTTGCCACCAGCGTAGTCGAGTTGTGTTGGTCAGAGCCTCTTCTGGGAGCAGAATATAATCGTGCCTGATGGAGATATATTTCTGATAATCCATCTCATGTAGTAATGTCCACGATATTCCTATATTATGTTGGTTCAAGATAAAGAAAGAATTAATACATGTCTGAAAGAAAGAATTAATAAATGTCGGAGATTCCTTGCGGAGTTCTGAACAGCTGATTTGGGATGAGGGCTGCCCTTTTATAAAATGAGAATTTTAGACTAATAGAAATATTTGTTAGGTGTTGTGGCCCAGGAGGTGCTGTTGGAGCTGCCACCAGACTCAGACAGCGAGGGGCTCTCTGAGTCGGCTCTGGAGGATGTGGAGGACCCTGGACAGGGTTCCGACTCCGAGCAGGGGCTGGTTGGCCACCAGGAGGCACCTGAGCCTTGGACCAGTGGGGAGGAGACAAGGGAGAGTGAGCCGAAGG